CACCCTCACACACCCTCACACACCTGCGCTTGTTGTTGCGCTTGCAAAATTTAAATTCAATTGCATACTTTCGAGCTGGACGGCGCTACAGGGCGCATACTTAACGAACCACGGAACTCGACCATTGCATATTTTAAACAAATAATTTCATTATTATTGCTGCAAATATGAGGTATAACATGCATGCCATTAATTCAAGTACGTACACGTTGAAATTTAAGGTCCTGTGAGATCAAAAGAAACGGCCATCCAACTCTCCAACTCTATCAGCTCTATATATAAATTTAGTCTTTTTTTTGGTTAAATTCTGTTAAATTTACTGTCATTTACTCTACTTTACTACCCTAAATCTGGGGGTTGCCTCTCGTCTGGCAATCTGATTGCGCTCAATTAAAATATATAATTATAAAATATATAATATATTCTGTATCATACACACGAGTCCTTCAAACTCATGTGACTGTGTGAACCAATTCTATATTTAAAAGTAGCTACAATAAAAGCTGAATTAGAATTATTTCTATTTGTGTTCTATTCAACTGGGCACAGGTACCTTGGGGTTACGCAATTGCGTTCTATTTCTGGTTGTTTGTACTGATAATTATATTTAATATGTTTGGCGTTTCAATGTTATTAACTGTATTTATGAATACATTACAATTTAGTTGCATTTGTTGCTTCCTGAAAAGAGTATTGAAAAGTCGGTTGCGATCGCCGCATGAAGTTTTGCTATTTCAGAACAAAAATTGTCATAATTTATTTGGGATATTTGTCATATTTAGTGGAACGCGTTTCGGGAGCGCCAAATCATGCCATTATTTATGAATTATTATGCACTTTGCTATTTTTATGACATTTAATTGTTTTAATTGTATGCATCCGAGCCCATTAAACATGCGCAACACAACGACAATTATAATGAAAAAAGGTTTGACATTATGAAAATAATGAAATTAATATTTGTGATGCAATTACGCATTTTTAGAGCACAATATTTAAGCATTCAAAATTGAATTAAATTTAAATGCATTATTTGGTGTCCATCTATCTATCTATAGCTCAGATTGGCATAGTTTGAAATTAATTGCTTTTAATGCATGGACTTCCATGGGCGTCGCTGGCAGTAAATGTATAAATTAATGTAATATTATTAACCAATAAAAGCATGCGCCATTCGATGGCCAAACAATTAGAAGTTTATGATAATTGTGGCCAACAAAATGTTTATATGGATGACGCTACGCAAAGTGTCGGCATATATGAATATTGATGGCAGCGGAATGCATTTAATTATGGCATTACATGCTGATTAGCTATTGGGGTTTAGAAGACGTCCGAGCGGAACTATTACAATAAGTTGTATATCATTTAAAGTACACATTTGTGTGCTAACACTTCGAGTTCTTTTCAAACAAAAGCTTCTCTTTTGCCCCTGTTGCATTGCACTTTAAGTGCCATTAAAATGGTAAATAGGCTGCAAGAGGCGCCCACGATCCGAACTGCCTCCGTTTTTGGGAAGCTGCACTGAGTGGTGGGTGCGGGAGTCTTTTAATTTCATCAGAGCTACTGGCAATGGAGTTGCACCCTAGCAGCATGCAATGCTCTGGGATACAGACCCGGACCTGGTCCTAGAGCGAGCTTTGGCTGGTTTCTGTTTTTGTGGCCGATGCGCTGAAAAATATTTGCAAAATGAATGCCAAAGAGGGCAGTGCGGTGGGCGTGGTTTCTATATGTATGTATACGGCCAGCCATGCAGACCAAGGGCTGGGCTCGGCTGGGCTGCCGCTGACCGAATGGGAGCCACTGCCGACTGGCTACAATTTATTATATTAAGTATTAATGTTGGCTACCCCGGACTGCCAGTGCAATACATTTTGCTACTGTCTGTCTATCTGTGCGTACGTGTGTGCTTGTGTGTGGGAATGTTGGTATATATGCATAATCCGAAAGCCAAAAGTAATTATATTAAGTAATTGATGAATTTGCCTTTTTCCGCGGCGGCCCTCATCAGACGACGAACACTTTTTGCCAAAGGCTACGAGTGTATCACGCCCACTCTACAATACCCAAAGGCGCAATTGTAGCTATCACACACACACACACACACAGACAGACGCAGTTACTGACGGAAAGGAAGGGAAGTTGTGTCATATGGCCAATGCCAGACAAATGCCAGACGGCCAGTGTCATCTATATAGACGACAGTCTATGTTCCGTGGACTATCGTCGGCTGTAGTTTGGGGAGAATAAAATTTAATAAAGCGCCAAATAAAAATTTATTGTGTGCCATTTTAGGCGCAGTGCGACAATGACCGACAATTTTGATTTGCGCACTGATAGGCGTCAATTTCCGGGAGCTCTAAGAGCTATAAGGGATACACACACACGAACACGCGCGCACACACACACACACACACATCGATACACACACAGTTCGTATGACGTGAAGATTTATTTGCTGCTTTAAATTTAAGTGATATAAATTGCATTCGCAAGCCTTCGTCGTCGGCCTGGTGGGGCATACCCAGTGACGGGGTTGGCTGCTCTCTGAGTTGCATATCTCGATGACTGATTGGCCATAAGATGTAAAATCGGGCTCAGCCTGGGGGGTCTCGCCTGCAGAGTTCTTATAAATGCGAGCTGTAAAAGTTGTGCAGTTTAAATGCTCTGCAACGCTCATACCATTGGAACAGCGATTGAGACTCATTAATAAGCCGAAAGAGTAGTAAAAATTTGGTAATGGCTCCTTTTATGGGCTCTTATCGAAGGCGTCGAAAATAAGAAATGTTGGCTGAGCAGCGTCCAGCGGGCAGAGTACTCTCGACTAGTTATCTGGGCAATTGCCCTGTCTCATTATGGAAGCCGATGTTGAATAGAATGGCAAAGTAGAAGAAAGAAAGAAACTTTCAATTTATTGTAGCCGCCATTTGCTGTTGGATAGAACTTGCTCTCGCTGGCCAACTTGGCGAATCGCAAAAACGAAACGATGCCAAAGTTTATTACTCAATTACAAAGCCATCAAAATAAAAAGGGAAACGCTGGCAGTGAGTGGCCAAGAAATCCAAAAGATAAATGAAATTGATAAGCGCGTAATTTATGTTTGGATTTCGTTTTATTCTGTCATTAACGCACATTTGCTATTTGCCACGCCTCTTTGGCGAAGCCGAGTCCCAAATGCCCATTTTTTGGAAATAATTTCTTCAGCCGCAAAGCGAATGCGAGAAAATGTTTTCACTTGCGAAGGTTTCATCAATTCACTTAGGTCGAGTGACGACGATAGTCGAAAATGTCCAGCTAATGATGTGGACGGGATAGTTTTTACCCGCGCTCCTTGCCTAATTCCCAGACAAGCTGTGTGTCTGTCTGTGTGTGTGTGTGTGTGAGTGCGCACAGTCTAACCTTTTCACCCACACCTTGGCATAACATCGATCAAAGCGAGCTATTCCCAACGTAAATGACATGCCCCTCACCCTTATGGCATATAAAATGCCAAGGCTTTTTGCCAGCTGTTTGGGGCTGGGCGGATTGGATATGGGAGCAGGGTCTCTGATTGTGCCACGCCCACTTCGCCAGCATTATGCATAACTAATTTTTGCAGCAGAACCAACAATGGATTTGCCTGCTGCATGCACTGAAATATTGAAACATGAAAATTGTCAAAAACAGCGACAAGAGCTCCAAATCCCAAAGAATTGAAAGGAGGCAAGGAGAGAGGAGTGCGATGCCATGAACATTACCTGTCAGGCCTGCGCGGAAATGAAATTTTGCAATGATACCAAAGAGGTGCGACGAAGGGGGCGCCATGAGCTATGCGTGCACATTTCCTCCTGACTGACAATTTTGACAATGTTGACAATTTTTGTTATGCAATAAAAATGATGTGCGTGGTGCGTGATATGTGGTGCGTGGTGCATGGGGCGTGGCTTAGCCGTGTGTTATACAAACTGTTATTCTGCGGCTTTGCTAATTGTTTAATGCATTTCAATGCATTTTGCCCTGTTTGCCTAAACGCATTATTTTTTATCGTTGCCTTCGATAGGCGATTTATTAATATTGATAATCGGCAGCGCATAGATAGCGACTAACTGACTGAAATAAAGACAAGGCCTATGATGGATAAAAGCACCCAAATGAAATTGCCTTTGACGGTTCTGCATAGGGAAAACATTGAATGTTTCGTTATCTTACCATTAACATCGACGCTGCTGCTTCAGCCACACATTTATCTGGCTCCAAGTAGAAATTCATTAGCGTCACGTTCCGGCCGTTTACACCTGTACATATACTTGTGTGTGGCTGCGGTGCTGACCAGACACTTCACATGATGGCAGCACCCACGAAAATCCACTAAACCAATTCAATTCAATTACAAAACGTGGCTCGTCCCAGCTCCCGCAGCCCGCCCTTCGCCTGTCAATTAGCGGGCTGTCTAAGCTGATACGCATTTTATATAGCATACCTTTGTGCGGGACGCTGAAATGTTGGCCTTTAATCAACGCCAAGTCGAGCAGGCCGACGACTTAGCGGCTGATTGGATTGCGGCTGCCGCAGCTCACAGGGGAGGCTGTTAAGAAGCCCATGATAGCAGGAGCCTTAAAAAAGGTAGCCGAAGCCGGAGTGAGCTGCGTTTTTATAATTAAGCGCAGTCAAGGCAACAACAAATCAAATCAACGACAGGAGAATTCAGTGCACAGGGAAGGCAAGCAGGAGGATAGGTGTGCTCTCGTTCAGAATTAGCCGAGCTTTAAGAAGTCGTCATTTGCGGTAATAAATCTTCACCCAGTTACTCACACCCTGTCTAATCATTTTCCATTTTCCATTTTCCTTCCATCTTCCATCTTCCATTCTCCATACTTCACTTTACTTTTTTATTTCACGCTTTAAGTAATTTCAATTTCGTTTTCATTTCTCACACAGACAAAAGTAATTAGAGGCCCTGTCGTTTTTTACGTGCCGAATTAATTAAAATTATTTCCATTTCTTTTCTTATTTCTCTTAAGTCAGTTATTTCCGCTGAACACGATTTGTGCTTGGCCCTCGGTGTGATGCGGTAATTAAAACGACATTATTCAATATTACAAATGCGAAAATAGCCAAGGCAAAAAGGCTTTGGAAAAGAAGGTCGGGTGAGGGACGACGCGTCGTCTTCAACAGGCGTTTATTGCTCCTTGGACGAAAGTAGACTATCTAGATGGGAGCAAGAAAGAAGTCATAATGGATAGAAAAGCCACCGGTAATGGGAACGGGCTCGAGCTCGTAAAACCCTTTTTCCTGCCCACGTTTCCTGCCCTTGTGGCACAGGCCAACACAATGAGGGCGAAGCCTTTGTGGCAAGGTAAGAAATCAAAAAACGATTAGTCCAAGATTTTTTTCTGGCTTTTTTAGTCCTTCTGGGTGCGCCTTATGTGATGAGTGGCGCGTGTTAGGCGTGGCTGGCTGCTTGCGCCCACTGGCAAGTACTTTCAATAAAGCTGCCCTACCGAATGACCAAAGCAGACAAATTTAATCGATCTCCTCTGTCTGCAACTACAGTTCATTGTCGATATTGTAGCTATTGGCGTTGGTGTTGATGTTGATGTTGATGTTGACGTTGATGTTGTTGTTGCCATTGTCAGCATGCAGTTCAATAAACTTTTGTCTAGCCTAGAAATCCATTAACGCACCATCGCCTTGATCGATTTTCAGTAGGTTCAAAGCAAAAACAAAAACAAAAACGTCGCTCGAATCGTCGCTTGCTAAATCACAAAAAAGTATGGTAGAAAAAAGTGCACGCTGCAGTGCAGAGCGACTCTGACTATTTTTAATCACTTCAACAGTTTTATTGTCTGCTGCCTACGAGCGAACAAACGCACTCACGAATTTAATAGATTGCCGAGCGGGCAGCAGCGGCAGTGGCAGCGGCAGCAGCAGCGGGCTGTCTGCCATGGGAAGCGACCGGCAGCAAAACAAGCAAAAACGCATGAGCTAAAATGTAAACATAAGCGCAAAAAAGGGAAGAAAAACGACGCCGTAAAAGTAGAAAGAGCTGCAATTTAAATACGGGCAACAAGGGGTTAACTGTGCGAGTCAGCTACCGCCTATTCACAGCAGCAATGAATGAGTCGTCGGCGCCCAGGGGTAGGCAATGGACTTATGAAGATATTCCTCCTGCTGCTGCTGCTGCTGCTGCTGCCGCCGCTGTAAATGATTTTGTCGATAAGCATGAAAGACGCTAAGTCGGTAAATCTAGCAGCAATCTCCCCATCCCACATCCGCCCACATCCGCCCGACAGATGCATATCAATGAAGTCCACGTGGGGCTAAATCAGCCAGGGGAGTTTTAACAAATGCCATTGCATGCCATTCAGGCGCCCTCCTGAAGTTTCAGGACATTCTTACACTGGCGTGCGTCATCGTCCTCGAGCACAACCTGACACGAATCTCCGTGGCACGGCTGCGTGCCTTCAAGTGTTACACATTTGCATTTTGGCTACAAGCGCATAGAACACAACACACAACACCGAACACAGAGCAGAGAACTTAGAGCCTGCCAGAGCCGTCATAGTTGGCGCAAAAAGTAGTTTGCCCTTTAGTTATGAAAATCGCGAGTTGCTTTTGTTTTGCGAGCCATTTTTAGACGCTTATAATTGCTCCATTAAAATTTGTTTATGGCCAAAGTTTATACTTGACAAGCAGGTCGTGTTGAGCTCTGCTGCCAGCCAGTAATTAGAATGTCACAACTTTTTCTCCTGCTGGCGACTGGGTGCTATTTTTGGGTTCCCTAGAGGATTATTATAGCGAACATGCTCTGTGCCTCTGTGTCACGATATGGAAAAAAGTTAGTTAGTTCCAACAAAAGATTTGTTCTCAGTGGGGATTTCACGAACTAAACGTAGAGTTCGGAAGAAATCTAAAGTCATTTAATCAGTTCCCCAAACTATTTCATTTCTGATCCGTGTCAGCTAAGCATAGTTGAGATGCATAACGAACTTGCTGTGGTCGAATTTGGCTTTCATAGGCTTGGAGTCAGGTGGACAATGTCATTAGCCCACATACAGACTCACGCACACACACACACACACACACGCACACTCTTCCACATCTTCGCACTTTGTAATTGGCAATGATTGAAAGCTTCAACCCGGAAACCATAGCGTTGCTCATCGCATCATTTGTTAGATGACACATGCAAAAAGTTGTTACCTACCATCAATTACCAGAAGGTTAGACAAGGTCGGGCATCCTGATGGGGCTTTTATTTTTAATCTATGCTGTTGGGGTTGCTGCTCCTTCTGCTCCTGCTCCTGCTACGCCCAGCTACGATCCAACTAACTCTTTCGCTCGGGAAATTTAATATCATCGCACCCAGAGTTTCTACTGGCGTTACACTAAAAGGTTTTCACGACGCTTTTAATTACACGTTAAACAAAAGCTGAACACACACACACACACACACCCATAACACAGACAGAGCAAGGCCCGCCCACCAAGGCCAACCAATTTTTGTTGCTGGCCCGGTTCGGCTTGCAAATTGCGGGAGTTTGCGATTTGCGCTTGATTAAATTCTAATTATAAAGCGTGCGTATTTCCAGTAGCCGCCTCCATTTTCTCCATTCCCCATTTCCACTGATTTTTACGACTTTTTAATGATTTTGACTGCCAGTCACTCATTTCGCCACGTTTGCTGTTGCTGTTGGTAGCTCGCTCCAAATAGGAGCTATGCGTGTTGGCCTTCTTCTTATTCGTTTTGTTCTGTTTTAGCTTTCCCTTTCGCCAACAGTTTTCCAATTTTCTTTGGCATTTCGTTTACGTTTCGATAATTCTTGGGTCCTTATTGGATAGCTCGGCTGTCGTTGGCCTTGCGTGCAATTTGCACTGCCTCCAGCGCCACCACCTGCCGCCTCCCGCCTGCCGCTCGCCGCTCCCATTTTGTATAATGCGACTTTTAACGCTGATTAATGTTTCCTCGTACTGCTTGTCCCTTTACCTTTGCCTTTTGGTTTCTGTTTCGGTTCTGGTTTCCATTTGGCATTCTTTTTACTGCGCTTTCACGGCTTGCATGTCAAATGGGTTTTTTTCTTTATTTTTTATTTTTTGATATTACGAGATTTACGCGAATCGTTTCGGGCGGGAGGTGCGTTTATTAAATTCATTAAAAATATACATTTCGACCGCAGCGAAGCCTACAAAACCAATAACAGTAACAACAACAGCAACGACATTTAAACATTTGCCAACTGGCAAGTTATTTGCTGGCTGTCACATGTCAATAAAATTAACACTTGAATGGCAAAGCCAACAGCGGACAGACAGGCGGACAGATGGACATATGGACAGACAGAGCTGCTACAGAAATAATATATGTATGTGTGTGTATATATAGGTGTGTCTGTGCTGTGTCTGTGTCTGTGAGTATTTTTTTAATTAAAACAACAACAATCAAGGCCTAAAGGACAACGAGCTAAGCTGCCTGCAATAATTTGCTCGACAGCTGCAAATGCAAATTTCAGCATGAACTGAATTGAAATTTATACAGAAATATGTGTAGACAGAGAATGCTGATGTAGGGGACAATGGGGCGTTGACAAACACACACACACACTTACTGGTTGTGAATAGCATTGAAATGCAAATTGCATTAAGTGCTCGCTGCAATCGAGTTGCAGTCGAGGCAGTCCTGGCAACCAAAACAACAGCCACAACATTTTCTGATATTAGGACAATTTTAACTAAAATCAAAGCGAATTACATTCAATTGCAATCATTTCATATTTCCGGACCGTTAACTGCGCTGGCTCCTAAAAGGCTGTCGCTTTAAGCTGCTCTTGCCATTTGGCTGGCGCTCTTATGACTTCAGTAATAATAGATTATCTATCTAAGAGAGCCAAATAAAATATTTTATCCATTTGGCCTGTACCTTAAATCAAAGTTGAAAATATAGAGAGCAAAGAAAATAAAATAATATATATTCTTTAAGTCAGATAATAAGATTCAGTGATTGCAATCACATTTAATGATTCATGGAAAATTGCATAGTAGTTTTATTTTAATATTTTGTCTAGTGATATATATATATATATAAGATATATATATATATATATTTTTTTATTATATGTATTCATTCTGCATAATTATTCTACGAAACTCAATCAGTTGATTGCATTTGGAATGCTAGATGGGATGCCCAAGCTTCGCGTTAAGGGTGCGAAATAGCTGGTGGAAATAAATGTGAATTATTTCATATGGAAATTGTGGGTAAATAAACATATATAAATAAATTTTTATTTATAAATAACTTTATCTTACTTTTGTTTATTACAAGTGCAGCGCAATATTAAATACTTGTTGTATGCGAAACATGTCATACTCTCTGAGTTTTAAAGTATTCAAAGCGAGGAATTTGTTGCCTGATCTACTGCATTTTGGTCAAGCGCCAAGTATGCAATATTGCAATGCATACAATGCCACAAGTTCACTGCCAACACATGCTCACATACATATGTGCATATATATTTATAGGGAGAGAGAGAGGGAGAGAGGAAAGCAGCTTATAGTTGACATAATTGTTTGTGTGAAGCTTTTGAGCATTTTGAAGCAGCATCGGTCGAGGGGTCATTGCATTGCAGTTGTCCGATGTCTGTCGTGGCTTTGTCCGAGCCAAGCCAATAAAATATGAATTTATGGCCTATTTGCATGGCTTTTGCGCAAAGACAAGTGCTCTTTGCACAGAGACAATGCAACAATATTGTGGCACATTGGCCAAACAAGTCTGTGATTCGAAAACAAGCAACTAAGTCAGCTGCAAAGCCAAATTAAGGCACAAAACTTCCCAGCTTAATGAGCTTACGTATACACAAAATTTGAGAATGCCAATACGACTGTGCTACATACAGTAACAGTGGTACGAGCATATATAAACTGTGCGGAGCGAGCTCTAAAAATTGCATAAAAAGCTAAAAGCATCCGAGCCAACAAATTGTGCTGTATCATTGAAAGCCTTGTAAGCATGACACCCTACCATAAAACGGCTTGGGGCCTTAACTCAGCTTTGGTAATGGATTCGGGATGGACCAACAGTTTTGTGGATGAAACACTGTGTGCCGTCGTTGGCAGGCTCTTGGGGTCATGCGTTGCTTCAGCGGGCTGAAATGCTGACAACTGGGAACCTCAATTTGCATTGCGCAGTGCCCGCAACGAGCCCTAAACGCTTTGCGAGCAGCAACAGCATTTCAAGAGCATATTGACTGTACGAACTATACGAAAATTTCTAATTGACTAACTCAATTTGAAGGCAACTGTACGGCAAGTTGATGATGACGATGCTTTTCTTGGTCGTCCTAGACAAACAGAAACGGAAAGTTCCTTTGCAGCTTACCCACTCCCCAAGCATTGCCAGAGTTCCCTAGTTATGCCCTTTGTAGAAAGTTTAGTGTCAAATGGATAAATTTGATTATGATTCTTAGTTGGGTTATGGTAATCGAGTTGGAAATACTTCAAAGTTTCGTTGATGGCTGTGCTCAGTGTTCAGCGCTTGCACGCCATGTTTTCGCGACTCAGCCAAATGCTTTAAGTTCCGCGCTCATTTACGCATTCAAAACAGTTTTTAGTCTGAGCAAATTAATTAGTCGACCAATTTAATGCATGGCACAATTCAAAGGAAGAACCCTCCCATCCAAAAGTGTGCTCATGAAGTATGCATTAAATCGCATCTAGGCAAGATTATGCTGACAAGTTCTAGTGGAATCTGGAGTTCACAATGCCCGTTAGGATAGAAATTAGGTAACTTAACAGTATTAAATGAACAAAAAATAACTGATTTGAAATCAAAATAAGCACGTTGCAATCAATCTAAAGGGGATTTAGACAGATCGGATATGGCTTTGGTAAATTCGTAAGTCAAAAAGTAAAACTAGTAAGCCATAAGCCTCACTGGCCTGCGCGTCTTAATAATCTGCACTAAACACATTGCTGTATTGATAAATTACACACTGAAAAATGTTTGCCACATAGCTTAATTATTGATAATATTCACTATAAAACTATCATAATGGACAGTCATATGAATGAGTGTGTTTATGAATATTAATTAGGCTGGCGCCCGTTTAAAGGATGGACATAGGCAGAGCCATAACTCTCGCTATTATATTTGTAAACACTTCAATCAATTAGTTTTAGGGCCAAGCACACACACACACACACACATGCACACGCACAAAATTAAATGCAATTTTTAGATATCCACATAAACTGACCACAAAATAACCAAATAACTTGTGCAAATTGTTCGCATTAGATTTGAAAATAATATGCATGATTCAGGCAACAAAAAATGCAATCTAAATTAAATATAAAATGCGCAAGCGGGCAACAATGGATCCACATGTGTGTGCGAGTGTGTGTGGCTAATGAAGCACGCAATTCACACACATTCACACCTGCAATTAGCTACCCACTGCCCACAGGAGTGGCGTGGCCGCTGTCTGTCAGCCAGTTGGAGTTGCATTCGCAATTGCAGTCGCTCTGCTGCAGCTGTCCAAAATGTAATATTTAACGTCATTTTATGCAAATTGAAATTATGTTAATGGCCAACCAAACAGTAACAGCAGCAACAACAATAACAACCTTGGCAAATATTATGCGAAAAGTGAAGCATTGAGTATGCAGACTGCTGCCAAACAATGTCGATTGTTGACTCTATTTACCTGACGCATATTATACAGGGGAAGAGAAAGAAGCAGAGAGAGAGCATGTGTGGAGCAGATGATGAAATTGTACATGTCTTCGGTGGCAATTGAATTGACAGTCAGTCACCCAGTTGGGCTGGGCTTCGTTCATTCAATCTCATTCATTTCGAATTCAGTTCACAATTCGCTTAAAGCATTTTGCATGTTTAACCGCCGCTCAGCTTCTGTTTTCTGTCATATTAATAATAATGAAAGCCTGCAACTGCAACAGCAATGGCATCTGTAGCTGGCAACTGGCAACGGGCAACTTTGCTTCATTTGCATTTTCATAATAATCATAATAATGTACAACACAATCACTTCAATGCAGCTGCAGCGGCAGCGGCAGCGGCAGCCGCAGCAACAGTTACAAAACCAAAAACCGATAACTGTCAGTAATCATAATAAGCATGTGAAATCATTTTGTTGCATGCCACTGCCTGCGGCATTTATCCTGATGATTGCGAGAGAGATCGAGCCTGACGACCCGTTAAGCTGTCGCTGCTGTGCTATGAGCCACGCTATATCCTAAGAAGCTGAGCTCGTGGGCATGGCCTACATTCAACATATTCCTAGATTTTCCATGTTTCTTCTGCTTCGATCTTAGTATTACTTATTAAGATTTTCCCGACTGCGCACAGGAAAAAACATATCGGCAATGCCCGACTGCAACATTCTTACTTGTTGCTATTAAATTGTAATTGTACGTACCTAAAACGAAAAGAACAAAATTTTGTTAATTAGTAAAGAATCAATTTATTTGTCAAATAGGCTGAGAAATAAATGAGTTAAGGTGTGCTACTTGAAAGTTAAACGAGTGGATGACACATGGTTTCTGCAGACAAGACAATACAGACAACTTTTGAATAAGTGACAGAATAAAACATCACTCAACTAGGGCTAACTAGATTTCAGTCTCGGCTAAAGTCAGACAGGACTATTAGTAGAAAGTTTGTCCATACGTTTAAAGAGGTTCCCACATACACACACAGCCATAGACAGATATATATAAAGAGTTAGACTTCAGTGAAAAAGGAACTAAAGCAATTTCAAATTGAAAACTGCTACGAATTAATCAAATGCTTTTGCCAACAAGTCTAGCCATTAGAAGGACGGACAAAAAAACTACGGCCAAAGAGAAATCTCGTAAACAACATGAAAATGTCAGTCAGTCAGAAAGCCAGAAGCCAGCGATAAAGCCAACGCCACAGCTCAAGGCAATGGCAAAGGCAAAGGCAAAGGCAAAGGGAAATTGAAGCAGGGCACAGAGCCAACCCTTTCGGCAATGCGTATTTGCTCCTGATATTTTGTGTGTGTAAAATGGATACCCCTATTCATGTATATATATATATATATATCTGCGTGCATGTATATAGTGTAACGCATTAAATCGATAACACGATTTTTCAGCACGAACACACAGTGCGAGTTAAATTGTCAGTTTCATTACATGGCAGGGTTTTTTTTGCTTTCTTTCTATTAAAGCCAAATCACTTCGTCTGCGGCTGAGCTGGATGCACGTCCTTCCTTCCTTCGGTAGTAGTTCCTCTTTCGGCGCTTGGCGTTCGGTTTTGGGTTGCCTTTGGCTCTGGCGCTTCCATTTCTCACAGTGCGACAAACGATTTTTCAACTTGGCGCTTCATCGAGCGTCGCTCCCTGTTTGGCCACAGTGCCACCATTTGATTTTGTTGCTTTTAAGTTCTTTTATTTCGTGGTTGGCGCGAGCCAACTCAATGCTACTCAATTTTTGCGAAGGCGTGTCAGAGAGGCATCGGGTGGCTAAAACAAAGGAGAACTGAAAACGCATAGAGAACTTGGCTTTTTGCCCCTTAGAGACACGAGACGCGAGACTCGAGACGCGAGACTCGAGTGCTTTGGCTGGCATTGGCGAGTTCCACAAACATTTAACTGATTGCCTGGGCGTGCGTGTGCCTTGCCGTGCCTTGCCGAGCCCTGCCTCGGGTTGCCTGATTTTTTGATTTGAAATACACCTGGGATTCAGCAGTCCTCGTCCTGCCTTGAGACGCGTGTTATTGCAGGCCAAAACGTTAGAGCTCGAAAATAAATTGTCTGTGCGTGCAGTAATTGCAAATTACGTTATGGGACTCAGCTAGATTTTCAGTATATGCCTCTGTGGACTGCTGTTGCCGGCCAAGGAATCAGTAATCAGTTATCTAGCCAAGTTACTGACACCTCTCGATGTACCATATGAATTTCTGATTAACACTTATAGCGAGCCAACGACTCATATTGCATTCCAATATCTAGCCCACATGCGAGATATGACCAGCTATTTCTGGGGAATGTGCTACCCAACATTGGAACTACAATACTATACAATAAGTAAACTATGCAATCATTTCTGCAGAGCATCTCAGTGACACGAAGCTGACGCTGGAATAACTCAAACTATGCACCTTGGCCCCGAGCAGCGACTGATAGAGCGTGCAAAATCAATAACCATCAGCCGAAACTCTTATGCCCATAACGGAATTATATGAAAGTACGCCACATGCTTGGGGAAATCACTAAATTCAGCCCAGTTCGAGCCTCGACTTCGTGTCTCGCCTAGTTCAGCGGTGGCAGCTGACTAACCACGCTGTCTCATCTTTTATGCATACGCACACAGATGTTCGCCCACTGATAACTGAGACTGCTTATCTCGTTGCCCGCTGCCCCTCTCAGGCTGCACGCCCGCCTGTTCGGCTTCAGGAGTCAACTGCATGTGACATTTGCATGCTTACTTAAACAGCAAAAGGCAGAAAGAGGCTCTGCGTCTACGTCTGGCACGTCTGGGTCGTCAGCTATGCCATACATTTTGGTGGCACGTCTGCAGGAGAATTGCTCAATGTCTCGGCACTACAGCTGGAGAGAGAGAGACAGAGAGAGAGGGCGCAGCTAGTCGCTGTCAGAACTTTGGGTTAGTTTCCCAGCTAGTGCTCTGTTGGCAGTAGGCAGCCGGCAGCCGGCAGCCGGCATCCTGTTGACGTCACATCCCACACGTGTGTAGTAAAAATCAGACGTGTACCAGGCACAGACCTAGACGAAGCTGCGCCTTCATATACTTTGATTGCTTGCACGTTACCGTACAATTTTCGGTATGATGGTGGCAACATTTCATGATTTCTTGTACGTGTTTCTGGCTAAGAGCACGCGCACTGGGCCAAGTTAGTTGGCAGCGGCTGCGCCGCATAAGCTACAAGTTTCACCATGGCGTCCTCATGCAGGCAGCACTCTCTTTTATATGACTCCGCGGCTCAGCGAGGTCTGGTTTTGTTTGCTGACTGATGATGGTTTGGTTTTGCATTTGATTTTGGTGTGTGCTGCAGGCCCATGCCTAGTCCTTTACGATGAATCAAGGACCTGCTCTATGGGTTTACACAAGTAGGCAAGGAGTTATCAATCAATTCCGTTCGGAGACTGAGCCAGTATTGGGATCGCATTAGTACACAACACTTTCACATCGAATGATAGCAGCATAGGCCCTGACAAGACACAAGGTAAGCACTGCATTGGGGCGAGGTTAACTAAACGTAATATGGCTTTATTAACTAGAATGTTTATCGATACTTTGCGCTTTTTGGACACTCCAAAACCCTTCCCGAAGACCAAAATTGGCAATTTTACATATAAGTTCTTGCGTTTTCTTTATCCCCCCTTTGGAAAAGACATGCCGTTGGTCACATACGACGTGGTTATACCGCACCCTGATAAAACTAGCTTGATAGCAGGCGCAACATGCTTCTCGATCTTGCTACTGGCCCTTCTGAGCATCAACATCTATAGGCGATCCCACGTAAAGGTGAGCGGGCATATTCTAAGATTTATTTGTGATATTTATATTATTTTCTATTCAGATCAGTTTGCCTGAAAAGTGCTTAGAGCAGGACCCAGATGTGGCAGATCTTGAAAATAAAGACAGTTTAGCTGACGCGAACAGCAGCGAGTGGATAAGCGACTCCACAATTTCCGAATCCATCGAGAATAATTTGCAGCCCAAAGAAGTGCAGCTGGATGTGAAATTGGAAATGGAAACCGAAACGGAAACCGAAAAAACCGGCGGCATCATAAATAATTGCAATAGCTATATCAAAGAGATTAAGCAGCTGCCCAACCAAGACATCGGTGACAGAAGTAACCTAATGAATGTTAAAATAGTTATTGGGAAGCCGCCTATATACCCCAGGCGCTCACATACAAATAAATAGACATTTATACTTAAGGTTTGGAATATATCGCGCAGTGATTCGGCTAAGCTCATTCAATTTTCATTTGAAATTTGGCGTTTTCTCTGCCCTTAATAAGTGTCAGCTTTGCCGTTCTCTGTTATAAAGTGAAGTGACTTTCAGTTTTATATACATGGAAGACACTGCACATGGGATTAGTGCTCCGCTGGCTGGGCTTCTGAAGCTCCAACCCAGAAGCTGGCTTGCAGCCAGTGGCATGGGCATAGCCAGGGGCCGATCAGGGAAGGGGCCTGGGTCTGGGCCAGGGGAAACCGGCTAGTGCGGAGTAGCGGGCGCCAGAGTATCGTTAAGGCAATCATTTGGCAGCGCATGTGTCAGATTACTTTCGTTGTTGGTTTCGTTTTATTTAAATTTCGTTGCTGGCTCTTTTTCGGTGGTTGTTTGTGTCCCTTAAATCTGACAGCAGCCGAAACTGTATGCTAAGCTTTTCTTTCTTTGTCTTCTTTTTGTTGCCAAACAAATTAATGATTGCCTTCAAGCAAATAAATCAAAAGCTTCAAGGATTTCAACTCTGGAACAGCTTTAAGCTGGGCGCCCACTTCTTGCTCGACAGCCTTTTTTCCACTCAACCAAGCGCGCTTGCATCCATCAATGATATATGTCCTCATATATATATATATGTTTGCATACACATAAAACTAGCTACTTGTGTGTGCGTGTGCCAAAGCCACAGCCACAGCCATTCGCATAAAGCAACTACCCGTGCGAGCCTGTTATAAATTATAATCATTGCGCTGCCTGGAACATCAACTACAGCTACTACTTGGGCTCTGAATGCGCCAATATTTGGCTGGCATTTCTACTTAAGCACTGTTTACAGATTGCGAACGCCTTTATCAAACTTGTAAAAAGAAATATCGACAGCTAGCGAGCAGTAGGCCCAGCTCACGATGAACTGCTTGTGCTTAGAGTATCTCTCGGCTGGTTGCATCCGATTGCAGTCTTCTTTCCAGTTCAAGGAGTGTCTAAGTTAAACTCCTTGTTTATATTGGCTCTGTACTGCAGGTCGACTGCACAAATATTTTGTTGACAGTTTTTATGGCCAGCAACGCCAACTGCTACCATATTGACAGTATGAGGCCAAAAGATTTTTTTTATTCTCTAACATTGAACATCAAATTTAAAGAAATAACTAGATTCGACTCAGAATTTTCATTTAGACAAGAGTTTCTTAAACACTTTAGCAACTGTCATTAAATTTGCGGAACGCACTTAAATCTGCTCAACTGGAATGGAAACATTTAAAAATAGCTTTCTGAAACTCTATTAGCATGACACATAAATTGCAAATAAATTATTGAAAAACTGAAAGCTATTCCTATATGGCCAACAACCTACAACAAAATTGCGAGAGAGCTTTGTTTCCGACTGTCAAAATGTACTGAATTTAAGCTTTTTAAATTATGGCAAATAGCAAATAGCAACACAGAATTAAAATAAAATTAAAAAATAGCCATTTAATGTTTGAGAATTCAGTGAAAATATTACACACATTGTCACATACAAATGCTGGTCGGGCTTAGCTGACTACAAAATACTCGCTGCCCAGTCGAACCAACAGTAAAACTATGAAGAAATCTTTATGTTTTGCTACGTCCCTAGAGGACAGTTGAGTAGATCAATAATTATCAGTTATATTTTTGGTGATGTGAGTTGGAACTCATTTGCCAAAGCAGCTTATATTATAACACATTACTTCCAGCCAATATACTCGTTTAACTTCTCGAACGAGTGTAATTGGGTGTTCCGGGGGTTGAATTGAATATTTGAATTATTTATAATGAATCGCTTAATATATTTGTCAGATGCACACATAGAACACTCATCTGATTACTAAGCCAGCCGACAGCCCAAATACCCACAGCCCCAATTCCCAAAGAGAATGCTAAACAAAAGCCATGAACAGAATGTGGTACGAGAAGGGATTTTCAAACCTATTTGCTAAAAATTGCATGGTTGAATCGTGTTTGGCCAACAAAAGAAGCCGTTTTTAATCCAACTAAATAAAATAGAACTCAACTAACGAAAATGTTTGCAATTAATTAGAATAAACCTTAATGCGACTGACTGTGTAATACACTCCACAAATATGCCTTATCTAAAACCCCTAAAACCCAGTGATAATGGGAATCGAGCTGTTTGCACTAGGCATTCTCACATGCTTTTAATTCAGTTTTTGATATACTAAAGCAAGATTTTTGACTATATAAGCCCACTTATTAAGTGCTTTAGTGCCATTTTCTGGGGCTGCTTCTTCATTCTAAAGGCATTGGTAAAACTTAAAATCACGATCGATTATACGACAGCAGAATCTCATCTGCATATCTCACAGCCCTTAGGAACGAAAGGGAAAGCCTTTTTAGGTATGACAGATTTCTCTTAGTGTCAGTCACTATAGAGTCTGTATAGTGCGTTGTTGGGGCTTTTCGATGCCTAAGCAGTTGCAGATGCAGATGCTTGCAGCCTATTGAATGTGTCATTAGAGTTGACAAATTATAAAGCCACGTGTGAGCCTGGCATCTCTGCTTTCAAAGACGTTAATCTGCCAGTGAGAGGCGGCGGGGAAGCCCTACCCAATTTGGCTTACATAATTCAGGCGTGCCAGCATGCTGGCCAAACTAGAATTACGTCAACTAACTAATTGCATGCCATTGCCACTTGACTTTAAATTAATGCTGGTAATTGCTGTCACGATGTCGTTAGTGATTATCTGAATGCCTAATGCCTGATTCGGCTCGTTAGGGTTGCATTCAATCGGGCGCTAAAAGGTAAATATCATTTATCAATCAGCTTGGGCAGCTTGCGTAACTCAGTGGGAATATTAGATAATTTGCCAAAGGAGCATTAATAATGCTATTGAGATGTGTGCGAAGAGCCTTGACATTCGTCTGCTCCTTGAACCACTATAACTTGTAGAAGGACCCAAATAAATACAAAATAGAAAGAAAATGCGACGTCCTAAGCGAAAAGTTTAAAACTTTTGGCCAACCAGGCACACGGCAACATATTTTCGTACTCCATAAATTATGCGCATAACCAAGGAGCAGCAACTGAGACTGAGTTCAACCAAAATCAAGAGCAAAGAGCGGATTATATGTAAAACGACTACACAGAGATGCCTCTGTGTGGCAGAAGAAGAAATCAACTAACCAAGCAGAACTATTACAATGGCAAAAAGTTTAACGAGTCATGTGAAAGTCTGTGGGGATTTCTGATAGCCACCCCTGGCCAAAATCTGAGGCAAGCAGCAGCCGTTGGGTGCGAAATTTACTTTTATTGCCCTATGTCGTCTCTGTAGCTGGTGCGATGTACATATGTAATATGCCTAGGCTTAACCACAGCATTTGATAAGGCAGCAGCAAGACGACAGACTTGATCCTGTTGCTGTTTGCAAGGTAACCAGATAGCCTGCCTTTGGGAGATGCTCTGCTTGGCTGCTTTGTTTGTTAGTTATGGGCCTTAAAACTTGTCACACTTGTCAAACAAACTTGCAAAATGTCTGCTACTTTAGAGCGTTGCAACTCTCTGAGAAAAGAAACCACAAAATAGCTCATGCAACTCGGAGACTGTGTTGGGAGTGCTCCACTTGCTGATACCCCATGCTCATGTATAATTATATAATGCAACCCCAAGATAGATAATATTAAGTATCATGATATATGTGTACCATCAATCAAATTACTTTACTTTTGAATGTCGATAAGGCAAACAGATAGACATATATACTTTTGGTCCATTATATATATGAGAAATTCATCTGTGCTAAAAAGTTCTTTACGCCACTTTCTGTCGTTGTCCCTGCTGCATATTTTTCTCTTTAGGCCCAGTAAAAGGTCACGCAGTCACATGCTAATGAGCAGCCTTACATAGGTGGCCGCTAGGCTGCCCTCTTCCAGTTTTAGTGAAATTGGCGCGTTGGAGTGCAGCCACAACACGAACTCCTCTCGCAGGCAACTCTACTTTATGACATGAATTCGGAAACCGCTTTTTGTGCCTGCTTTGCAAGCTAGCTTCCCCAGGTTTTGTAAACGAATGTGTGAAGGACTAAAAAAGGGATCCAAGCAAGGTTTTTGCTGTGGGCGCTCAGTTGTTGCAGCAAGCATTTTGAGTAAAAAATGCGGGCAGAGAAAAAAAGCGAAATAGGAAAAAACATTTTGTTAGTTGCATAAATTTGGTTACTGTTGTTATCCTTTTTTTGTTGTACCCGCTTGTTTCGTAGTCCTTGATAACAGACAGCGTCCGCTAAGCGTCGTCGTGGGAGCAACTTATGTGAAACGGCGCCAGTTTAGATACATCTGAAAGCTGGGGCCAGATAAATCTGTAGCTGGTTTTAGGGAAGCTGGCGAGCCAATAACTGTTAAGGGCCAAAGCATAACTAAAGTTTACTTTAAGTCTCGTTCAGTTCAATGGCCTTCGCAGGCATGAATCACTCTGAGTCCCTACCTTACGACGGAGCACTCAGAACTTAATCGCAATCTTTGAAGCACATAACTTGAATACAGGCTCATAATGTGGCAAGGATACACACCCACCCACCCACAGAGCCGTGCACAGACACACAGACACAGAACCTTCTTACATTGCACACCCATTTATATCTCTATTTACAATTTATGCGCCACGTGAAGGTAAATAAAGTTGCAACAAGCGCTGCACACGCGACGACCGTAGTGTCTATCTGGCTCTGGTGCACTCGTTGGCTGGTTGGTTGGTTGCTTGGTTTGCCATACAAATCCCAAAACCATTTCACTAATTGAAATGAATTTTCATATACGACGACGAGAAAATGTCGAGAAGCGCAACGTTGACGTACGTGAGTGAGTGTGAGCGAGTGTGTGCGCGAGTGTGTATGCAATCGTGTGTGGGTGTTTGTTTACGAGACACTTTCGTGTCGCAGTACAAAATTGCAGTGACCTAAGGCAACTGGAAAATCGTTGGGCGCAAGCCAAATGAAAGCGACGCAGTTGAATGACTTTCCTTTCCAAATGACTCTTTAAGT